TTTCAAAGCAAAATCTCAGCTCGCTGTGTATTTGGTTGTGAAGGGGGCTGCCCAGGAGACCTGGGATGTTCCTGGGGTTTGGGGATAGGGGCAGTAATCTGACTTCTTCACACCCACCCAAACACACCTGTGAGAAAGTGTGACCCGAGGGAAGTGAAGGTTTGATGGTGAAGGTAAATGATGCCAGGATAAAGGTGTTAGTTGATGGGGAAGAATCTACCATGACCTGGTAATAACAAGAGCTGACACTCAGGTTGATACGCTGGGCACTGTTCTAAGCGCTTTCATAACTCTTTATTTCTCAAAACAATCCTATGGGTAAGCACCACTACTAATTCCATTTCTCAGCTGGGGAAACCGAGGCACAAAGAGGCTGAGCGTGACAGCAGCGTTCCTTTTTGCTCCCGACAATTTGGAATCAAGGGTCTGCAGACGAGGTTTGGCTCTCAATGCCGTGTTTCGAATTTTCCTCCAGCCTCAGTTTTAAAGTAGATGTCTTGTCTCGGGCACATGCAATATCATATACTTTGGTTATCTTGATTCTAATCCTAATTAAACCAATGCCCATTTTATTCCATCTTGGTCTCTCTTGGTCTCTTGGTCTCAGCTGACTCAGTTCAATACCAGCTTGGTCTGAAAGAATGCCAACTAGTCCAGGTAGCAAAAGAGTTCTTTGGGGTGACTTTAGGCTTCACGAACCCCTCCTTTCCTTCCCCTAAATGATCAGCTTAATGATTAGCTTCCCTGAGGAGTAACAAAAATAATCGTTTTGAAAAATAACCAAAACAAAAAATTAAATTTGCTCATCTCCCACTGCTTCAAAACACTTTCATAAAGAGGAAAAGTTTTCCCCTCCCCCTGTCTGATTCCCTTCTTCAAAGTAAACCACTGTTAACAACTTGTTGCACATCCCGCCCAATTTGTTACTGGGTTTATATAGATATATTTAGGTACACATATATCCAAAATGCCAGACACATGACCTATACCTTGTATATATCTTTTCATACTCCTGGACATTTTCCAAGTCAGCACCTACAGATCTAAGCATTTTTTTTTAGTAGCTGCATGTTATTCTACTACATGGATATATTATAACAGATCCAACCATTCCATTCCCCTATCGATGGGCATTTAGATTGTTTACAATATTTTTTGTTACGAACGATGCTGCAGTACATATTCTTGTTTATATGATTTTTACTTATTCGTTGTATTACGTCTTGTAGGATGGATTTAAAAGAGTGGGATTGCTTTTACTCTTGGGGCTGGAACACCAACAGTGTAAGAGAGGGCCCCCCACCAACCCCCCGGCCCCGCACTCACCTACCCAGCCTTATCAACACTCCGGGCCAATCTGCTAGACCAAAATATGTTAATCTCCTTGAGATTTCATTTGCATTTCCCTGACTACTAGTGAAGTTGAGCATCTTCTCATACGTTTATGGAAATTTGCATTTCTTATTGGGTGAATTACCTACTCTTATCCTGGACCCATATATTTTGGTCAAGCTTTTTTTCTGTTCAGTGTATAGGAGCTCTTTGTGTACATGGATATGCTCTTCCTCTCCTATATCAGGCAAGTATTTTTCTATCACCTGTTGTTGCCTTTTGACTTTGTTTAAGGTGTGTTTTAACTGTAAATTTTAATTTTTAAATTTTTATTAGTCAAATATGCTACTTTTTTCCTTGTTTCTTTTCTA